TGTCTTTTTTTTATATAAACTGAGGATCTCGCAAATCACAGAAGACAAACAAATTTTTAGAAAGCACTTTCTTGTTCGTGAAATATATTAGATAGATTATTACTTTTTAAAAAATGAACAGATTTACTGTTCAGATTGTGACACCTGGATGGGTGTAAAACTGATTTGTTTGCAGTTTTTGACAGAACTCAGATGTGTTTTTGAGCCCTGAAAATGTCATGTGTCTGTCTGCTGTGCTGATGAAGTGATGAGGCTCAGAGAAGATGGAAAAAGTCCAATAAAAAGTGAGAAATGTCCACTTCTGTGTCCTTCAAGGGCCTGTAGCTGTGAACATATTCATGGCATGAAGGTACAACTTTGCATGGCTTCATTAAATCTACTAAAGTTACTGCAGATGAAACATCAGGAGAGAGGATCTGATTGATTTGTCGTGGACGGACCCAGGAGAGAAGACTGAAGCGATGTAAACTTTCTGGCTCAGATGGACGATTATCTTCTAAATCCGATGCTGCTTAGAAATGTGTGACTGAAGTGTGACGTCTCTTTTCAAACTCGCGTCTCGCTTCTGACTCGCCGAACCTTCCTCGCCATCATCATCTCCCTGATTCTCTCCGCCACCTCCTCCAGCTCCTTTTCCTTTCCGTCCTGCTGTTTCTCTTCCTCCACGCCCTTCTGCTTTCCTGCCTCCGCCTTCGGGTCGGGTTCTCTGTGGGCACAGGCTGCGGGTCAGCAGGATCCCGCAGGATTGTCACTGACCAGCTCTTTGTCTTTCTCGGGGATGCTGTCGAGGTTTCCCGCCGCCCTCTGCTGGCTCTGGAACTGGAACTGCGGTATCGGGGGAGGCTGGGGGTACGCCGGCGGTTTGGCGAGAGTTTGCAGCAGAGGAAGGGGAGACGGCAGCTGGGGAAGGGGGTGGAGGTAAGCCTGAGGAGCGGTGTGGGTCTGGAGCTGGTACAGGACCGGAGGCTGCAGGTTGGGCTTGTTCTGAGGCGGCTGCTGCTGCGGGATCTGCGGCGGCGGCGGCTGGTGGTGGTGGTGGTGGTGGTGATGGTGAGGATGGTGCTGAAGCTGAGGAGACGCCGCTCCGTTCTTGCTGAGGCCACAGGACTGAGCTGCACAGTGGATCTGACGCAGAGTGTCCAGAGCTTCACTCTTGGCGTGTTTCAGCAGGTCGGCCTGGCCCTGAGAGGAGAGACAGAAAAACACATCAACATCAACATCAGAATCAGTTCACAGCTGGACTTTCAGATACATCTTTGTAGGGTTAAATCTTAGGTTCTAATGTTTTTCATTTATTTCAGACATGCCACGATGTTGTAAAGGCAAAAAAGAGAGAAAATGAATTGCACAAAATGTGGGGGGAAAAAAAGTCAGGTAAATCTCTAGAAATAAAAATAATGTCTTAATCTTTATTCTAGTTACATTGCAAAACAAATTATGTAAGAAAAAAAAATAAAAAATCTGGCAGCAAGAGTCCAAGAAGGAAATATTTTTTTTAAAAAAGAAAAGAAAAAAGCTACATACTGTAATGTTCAATCACTGAAAATAAAAACAAAAATCCTACATAAAAAAATAAATAATTAAATACAGCAAAACTGTGTAATTTTACGGTTCCATATTGTACAAAATAACATCTCAAATCTGTATTCTTCTTCTTCTTTTTTTACTTATAAACACAATAATAATCAAAATAATTATAAAGTTGCCAAAAATGACACAATTTACCGGAGCCAGAAACTTAAAACACTTTAAAAATGGCTGCATTTTTCACTTTTGAATTCTCGTTGAACTAATCATGTGTGATGTAGGGCTGCAAGGTGGAGCAGTGGTTAGCATCGTTGCCTCGCAGCTAGAAGGTCACCGGTTCGCGTCCCGGTTAGGACACCTGGGATCTTTCTGTGTGGAGTTTGCATGTTCTCCCTGTGCAGCGTGGGTTCTCTCCGGGTTCTCCGGCTTCCTCCCACACAGTCCAAGAACATGTTGAGGTTAATTGGTGATTCTAAATTGTCCGTAGGTGTGAATGTGAGTGTGCTTGGTTGTCTGTCTCTAAGTGTGGCCCTGTGATAGACTGGTGACCTGTCCAGGGTGTCCCCTGCCTTCACCCTGAGTCAGCTGGGATAGACTCCAGCCCCCCATGACCCTAGTGAGGATTAAGTGGTGTATAGATGATGGATGTGTAATGTTCAGCTCCATCTGGTAAATTAAGCTTAAAATCACAATATTTCATCAGAATCCTTTTATTCTACACCTCTTGTTTAAAAATTTCCCCAAAATAGTGAGTTTGCATAAACTCAATTCTGTAAAATAAGTTGACTTTAGTGCAACTATAAAGTGATGACTGACTCAGCTGAGACAAAACAGTCACGAAGCAAAAAGTCTGGAACTGTTTTGTCTCGACTGAGCTGTATGGGAAGAAATTAAGATGTCAGAATCTACGGTGTGTAAAGTTAACTCTTTCTTTTTGTGCTATTTTTCACACCTTGGAGCAATGCTGTACATGCTGAGTCCATTTTATTTTTCAATTCTAGATAAATTAACAATCAAAGAAATTCTACTTCTTTTTTTCCCCATTTTTATTTTTAAATTAGGATTTATGTCATACAGCACAGAAGACATTTCTGAGTTCTCTCTCCTTCGTCATGGTCGCTCTGTTTCCATAAGGGTGCAGGACTTTATGCTGCAGTGAAAAATGAGCCCACAGTGAGGAAAAATGTGAAACTTCTTGAGATTAAAGGGGTTAATTTACCATTTATCTGCATTAGAGAACACCATGAATTCTATGCCGCCCTTTTTTGACCTCATCTATTTGTAATAAGAAGTTTTTAACGTCAAACTGAGTGTCTAAATAACGATTAATTGCGGGAAAACTGTAAGGACTTTTTTTCCCTGAATGCATTAGCGCTCAGCGTACACAAGGGGGCAGTGTGAGGCCACTGAACGGAGGCCTCTGGTTGGCTGCCAGCTCTTTGTACTGCTGCTCTCAGCTGGCGAACAGTGCTGTCATATGGTGATAATATTATACTACGTTTCTGCTCTTTATTCAAACACCCCAGAGATGAATCCCGGCCATATGTGGAGGAAGTGGTCAGGGCAGGCGTCCTGAGCTGGGCCAGCCTGCCTCCTTAAGCTAGCTGTCGCTGCCATGTGGAAATGTGGTGGACTTCTCTCCTCGGGCGGTTATTTCTGTGTGCGAGGGGCGCTTATATTATTAGAACTGTCCAAAAGCCTGACCACAAGCCGCCTTACACTTGTACAATCTCTTTCCCTTCAGGCCTTGTCCACTCCCAACATCTGCTCGGATGAATCCACAGACTTCCACCTCCCTCGGCCGACCTGTGGAGCGCCGGCCTCAAGTGTCAAAGAATAAAGGCGCAGACGTATCGCAAGGTGTTGCCCAGGTGACGCTGAAGCTCTCTTTTACCTGAGTGAATCCAGCACGCAACACCAGGAGCATGAATAAGTCATATGTTGGGGGGAAAAAAATAAAGCTGAAAATTATGTAAGTCATGACTCACCAGGCATAAAATAAGACAGCGAGGAGCTTGTCCTGCGCTGCCAGTGCCAAATCACGACGGCACTTGTGTATGGATGCATTCAGGCCTACAGCTGGTCTAATGCTGTCCACGAGGGGGGGGCTGGACTGAGCGAGGCCTGCCACCAAATCCCACCACGATAGCCTCATTAAATTCTAGCCCAGTGCCGCCTCGTTCATTAGAAACGGCCCGTTTCTTTGAGAGATATAAAGAAAGAGAGGGAGGCTGCCTTGGCTGGGTGTTATTGTCAAGGTTGGACACATCGATAGAAAGTGGAGACAAGAAGACTGAGAGCACATTTTCTCCGACTGAACCGTAATTTATGGCTTCACAGTGAGCACACCTGAATGTCAAATGATTCAAAAGTGACAACTGCTGCACAGTCAGGACTATGTGTTCACTGTGGTGAGGTGCTGGAGGGGATGTGTTGCTCCACCTGGATGAAATACGAGGCGTGTCAGAAAAGTTCCAGGACTGGTGTCACAAAAGATGTATTTCAAACTACAAATTTTCCCCTTTAGATGACCAACCAGCACGTCTACAAAGAGATCCTGCAGGCGAGAGTTGTGTCAGGACGAGTCGTGGCTGCTTCACCATGACAACCTGCTCACGATGCCCTGAGCATCCCACAGTTCCTGGCTGAGAAGAACCTCGCCGTGCTGGAGCAACCTCCCTACTCACCCCACCTGGCTCCGTGGGATTGTTTCCTCTTCCCCAAGCTCAAGGGGGTCTTCAAGGGGACCCGTTTTGAAGAAGATGGCTGTGACTTCCAGGAGTGCATGGCGGCGTGAAGGCAGAGAAGGCTGGGAAGTGTGTTGGACTCCAGGGGAAAACTTGTAGTTTGGATTTGAAATGAAGCTTTTGTGATACCAGTCCTGGAACTTTTCTGACACACCTCACACTTCAGAAGATGCTCGATTTGATTCAAAGTTCAAGTTTATGGTTTTTTCCTCCCTTACCTACTCTTGTGTGATTTTGTCTTTTGGATGGTTCTCATGCTGGACTAGTCGTGTTCCGTAAACAGACTGGGAGTCATGTTGTCAGCCAGTATTTTGGTTGATCCATAGATAGTCATGGCTCATCTATAAACGTCATGAAGCCTTTGGCAGCCACATCTTAAGTGTCTGAGCTTCACAGAAACTCCATTAATAAAACACAGGAGGACGACCACTGCAGCTCTGATTCGTGGTACCGTGGCTCCTTCTAAACCTCCTGATTACTGCTGCAGCTCTAACTGGTTTCTAGTTGATCTTCCTGAAGCCTTTTCCATCTTTGGCGAATCACTAAACATTTTTGGTGATCATAGATGGTTTTAGAAACATGTTGGAATCCCAAGTAGACTCGGTTTAGCTGAGTTTCTGCTGTACTTTGAATGTAATGTTTGTTTTTTTATTTTTTTTTAGAGCAATTGTTCATCTTACAAGTAATACAAATACCGAGAGGTGATTCAAATCCAAGTCATTTGACATTTATGTGACGTTGCACGCTGCATACGGGTTCTTAATTGAACTACCACCAACACCAAACACGTCTATTTACTGCAGCTTTTGGAGCGACGCAGCATAAAAACCTGGAAAAGATTTGAAAAGAGGTCGGAGCCGCCTCACCACAATGGAAGCTACGACGGTGGAGAACAACAAGACGCATCTTTTTTTTTTTTTTGGATTCCTAAAAGCAATACGCTTGACATTTGCTTCAAAGCCTCCCTTTCTGTCTCCCTGCATTTGCTTTCCCTCTCGACAGAAAGGTACAAGCCGGTGACAGAAAATGGGCAAACACCCTCATCGGCGGTGACAGCTCTGGTCTGACTGTGGCTCTCTGAGCGAGGCTGCACGGGGAGTTGGGGAGGTTTTAAAGAGGACACGACTCTTCTTCATCCCCGCCTCGACCGGCGAGCTTCCACTTCCCGGCCTGCTGAGAGTCTGGAGGAGCTGACAGGTGAAATAAGCGAAGCGGCTGCCAGCTTTGGCAAAAACAGTCGCCAGGCTCTCACCAAATGCTGCGAGCGAAGGACGGGAGGTTGGACAAGACGCCTTTATGCTGAGAGCATGGACGAGATTAAAAATAAGAGGGGACGTGTGTGTGTGTTCTCAGGATGAGGAGGCCACCTGTTAAATACTACTGATTCTGGAGAGAGCAGCGGAGCCTAATTTAGATCATTCTGTCTGTTGCACAGCTTCCACTGCATTAGTTGGAGAGAAGCAGCCATTTGCAGCGACATAAAGGTCCATAATGTTCCTGTTTTAGGATAGAAATGGATGTGTCTTTACGTTTTTCAGCTCAAAATCATGCCAAGATGATTCATTTCACCCTGACTGTATAACTACTGGTTTTTTACACTGTAAAAAGTGAAGGTTTTTAGCTGCTTTTTACTGTTATTTTAAAGATTTTCATCAATTTTGTTCAGTTATACATGGCAACAAGTAAAATCACAGACAAAGGTAATAATTTACATGTTAATCCTTAAAAAAAGAAAAACAGGCCAAAAGTTGTAAATAAATTTTGATAAATAATTTGTTCTTTTGCCATGTTTGACTATAAAATCCCACAGATCTACTGTTTATCAAACAGCAGAAATATCACTATTCTGCTGATATCTGCATTTACTTATAAAAGAAAATGTGTGTATTGAATATTATAAAATGAATGATGAATGTTTCTATAAATGGTCATTTGCTCTTTTACAATTTACTGTACAATTATGAAGTTTATTGTATTTACATCAGAAAAATAGAATTATTTTAAAGATACAGTTGTGACTCGATAATCCGACCCTTAACAATCCAAAACGTTGCTATCCGACAGGTTTTTAGGAAAAAACGAACGGAACCCATTAAAAACAGCCTTAACATATCGACAGCCTTGGATACCGACTCCGACATGACGCCGCCACCGATGGTAGAAACAGAACTGTGACCACTAACTAAACTAGCATCGGCAGCCAAGTACTGCCTGTGTGTTCCAGACACTTCCACCCTGTCGGAGCGCTCTCCGGAGGTGGAAGTGTCCCCCGACCACACAGAATATTCTGATATTCATCATTAATTAGGCCTGAATATCCAGAGACCAGAAAGTGCTATTGGGACCATCCCTACTAGTTATTATAACACCAATGAACAATAAATATTAACAACTAATGAGCCTTCAAGCATCAAGCCCTCCTCGTATTTGGACCTCCGTCTTGACAATCCGACATAAAAGAAGGTTTTACATTTAGTGTCCGATTATCGAGTCACGACTGTATTTTCCATGATTCGAAGGAAACTTGTGTACATTGAGGACTGAAATAAAGTAACTATTTATAGAACTGTTATTTTACAGATGTTTCCTGTTTTGTTCCTGTTTTCTGATAACAACTAGTAAAATCACAGAAAAAAAAAATTCCACGTTAACCCTAAAAATAGGTAATGAAAAATAAAAAAACTAAATCTGCTCCTTTGTATTTATTTATTGCTGTTTCGCATCATTTTAGTTGAATCATTTCGGGTTTTCCGACTTTCACGCATCTACTGCTGGGAAGATAAAACACCAAACTGAGTAAAAATTGTGAAATTTTTCTTGATTAATCAATTATATGCTTGCTCTGTAAAATGCCAGAAACCAACACAACCCAAAGATATTCAGTTTGCTGCCACAAAAAAATAAAAGAAGCTAGAAAAATATTAACATTTAAGAACCTGCAATCAGAAAATGTAAACTTTTTCTCTCCTTAAAAAAATGACTCAAACTGAATTATCGATTATCAGAATTGCTGGCAAATAACTTATGTGTACAATTCTTTTTTTTTTAAATTTACTGATGTTTAACAGATTTTCCTTGTTTTGTTAAATGACATATAAACTAATAATTGATTACTGTGAAACAAAAACAGGCCAAAACTGTAAATTTCTACATTAAAAATCTTAGTTTTAATAAAATACATTTATTTTTTATTTGTTTTGACAAGCACGACAGTAAAATGCCTCTCTTTTACTGTATTTAAATCTGTGAAAAACATAATTATTTTGCAATTTTTTCAATTTTTTCTGTTGTTTCAGGCTCATAACTCCGACTGATGTGAACTTGTGAGTTTACTTCGGGGACCGTAAGCGTCTGGATGATCGTTTCCTGCTGCTCAGATTAAACTCCACGACGTCTTAAAGCAGCTCTCTGGGCTAATTGTATTTCCCTCCTCTCTAATCCATAAATCCCTTAATTAATTACTGTTGATTCCAGTTTGATGTAGTTGCTCGTTGTAAGTATCTGGACGGGACACGACGGGACCGGCTCACACTGGCTCGTACGAACGGTAACAGTGAAAACCCACCACATGCGGCTCCGGCTGCACAGAGGAACCGACTGCAGACGGATATTTTTATCCCATCACCCTGAAATCATTTATTATTGAGTGAAGACGCTCCTTTGGCTGAGCTTTTCTGCTTCAGTGTCAGGATGTTTGATTTCCTGATTCGGTTTCGCCTTTTCATGTCTGACTGACACAAACTGGTGAAAATTAGAGCTACAGCTGAATATTACTGCTGATGATTGATTAATCCGTCTAATTGGTGTTTTAAATGAGCTGATTAATAGTGAAGAATGCAGCTCAGTGTTCCCTAAATGTGTTCGACATCTTAAGATTAGTTTTGGGGCATTATGTTTTTACAGTGTACAGCAGTGTTTCTGTGTTGGAACCTCCTCCCACCTTCAGGACGGTGATGTTCCAGGCGTAGCTCTCCATGGCCTTCTGAAGCTTCCGACCTTTCAGACCCTCCTTCGCCCCGATGCGATGCAGGTCCTCGTGGAAGTCCAGACCTGGAAGCAGACGGATGAATTATTAATAAAAACGCACAGTATCAGTGGTTATGTTCTGCTCATTGGGGTCTTGTGAGTGTTTAATGAAAAATATCTGTTAATAAATGCTGTAAAAATATAAATACAGGTTATCAGTGTATATAGATATTATACACTGCTGAAAAAAAAACACATTCAATCAACATGTTTTTACTGGAAGTACCCATGTAATTATTCAAAATATCTCTCATTTACCAAACAAATTTAAAAAAAAATAAAAATCATAAAATTATACAATTACAGAACTAATACTGTCAGTAAATGTATTTAATTTTAGAAATATATTTACAGTATAAAACTTGAATTTAACAGTTTTTTCATTAAACAAAATGGAAATATTTATGTAAAAATTCAATTACAAAAATTGTAAAATTTGTCAATGTATCTGAACAGTCAAAAAATAAATAAAAATAAATAATATTATTTCACAGTTACTCATTTTTTATGTTTTGTAACATCAGACATGGAAATTCACATTCTGTTTTTCTTTTTTGATAATTTAGTATTTTCCAAAAATTATGGAAAGAATCTGTTCAAACATTTTTCTTGTGAATACTTTTTGTAATTATGGCTTATTTGTAATAATGTCTCCTATAACAAACAATTCATGTGGAATTACAGAACCAACGCCGTCACTGAATGTATCAAATATTAAACATATGCTTACAGGAATAAACTTGAATTTATTGCACGATATATTGAAATTATGACAGATTTGTGAATTTATTGTAGCAGATAAAACATTTTAAGTTTCTTTAAAATGCATGTCTGTTTGTGTTTACACTGTAAAACAAAAACAACAACGAAAAAGAAAAAAATTCCAGCAGCTGAGGCACCAAAAATTTCTGTAAAATAACCCTAAATACTTCGTAAAATGCTTCTTTCTTTTTTTTTTTTCTTCTAAAACTTCTACTTTAACTACACTAGAGGAATTACTGATAAAACAAAGAGCAAAAAAAAAGTTCAGATTTGACGGTGTCCTCGCCGTTCCCTCTTGTTGTCACACTGATTCTGCAGAATCAACATCACAGCTGCTTCTGTGGACAAAACCGAGGCTGTACGATGCAGGCGGACGTCTAATTAATCTATCAGGCTTCATTTAGCCTCAGCAGACCAGAACTAATCCCTCTGAGCTTTAAGAACAAACTCCTCCTAAAGCCGTAAGTCTCAGCAGGTCTGTCGGTCTGTCCGGCGCCGCTGACCCGACGCTTCCATTTACTGCGTCGACGAAACAAAACACGACTCAGAAAAACCCCATCGTGTCGTTGTCTCAGCTCTGTTCAGGAACAAGCAGAAGCTCGAGTGTGGTCAAGAAAAGTCTTGAATTAAACCTGAACTTGTAAGAGACCAGAGAATTCAGCTCGGCCCAGTGACTGGCTTCATGTTGGTTGAAAAACTGAATCCTAAGTGACGTTTCCAGCTGCACAGAGACTTTATGTTGGTGTGATGTTGCTCATGGAGTTCATCATTGATGCATGAAAACGTACACATATGGAGCTCCCAGTGCAAAGAAGAAAACTTAGATAACAACACAACACGTCATCTTGTGCTACATTTGGTAAAGAAGCACATTGTATGACCAAACTGTGGGCTAAGTTAAGTACAGAAAATAGATGCTGTGGCCTTCAGTGTTGCTCCTCTTGAACCATTTCCTTAATGAGCTTGTTTGCTGCTCTTAAATCTTCGGGGTGTGTGCTGTTCAATAGGCCAGACAGCATCTCGGATTTCTCCTCATCCTCGCCTCGCAAAATACCCACAACCACTTTGAACCATTTGAATCCCATGAAGGGTTATTTTTGGACCTTTTTGCTGCTTTTTCTTCATTTCTTTCCTTTTTTTAAATATTTATTTAACCTGCCATTTGGAGATGATAATGCTCTATTTCAACTTCTAGTGCACATGTCCATTTGTAAATATACCCCGTGTCGTAAATACCATAGTTTATATATATGTACACATATATATAAATACAGTCGTCCTCATATGTATTCATACCCTCCCATTAAAGAAGGAATAAAACAGCTGAAATAAGTTGGAATTGACAAAAGCAATAATAAATGAAAATGTAATGAAAATCATGACATTATGAAAAAAAATATGAAAAAAAAAACAAGCATGATGGGATCCGTAAACTAATATTTTGTTGAACAACCCTTTAAGGCAATAATTTCAATCAAGTGTTTTCTGACACTTTTTTTTTTTAAAATTATTCTTTTCAACCACATTTCAAAAGCAATGTCTTATTTCACTAAATTATAATTTAGTAAATTTTTATTTCTTATTACTTTTTTCAAATTTTATTTATTTCATTTTATTTTTGTTTTAACAATATATCTGTACTTTATACTCTGCACTATTGCACTTCTGGTTAGATGCTAACTGCTAACGTCGTTGCTTCGTACTTGTACACGTGTAACGACAATAAAGTTGAATCGAATCTGAATCTAATCTAATAAATCTCTTTTTCCAAACTGACCAGGTCAAAAAAGGGCAGCACACAACTGATGGTGATGCAAATAGAAACACAAGAAGGGCTTTCACATTTTTCCCCAATGTTGGTTCATTTTTCACTGCAACATAAAGTCCTGCAGCTTTATGGAAACAGAACAACCATGAAGAAGGAGAAAGAAATGTCTTCACTGCAGCACGGCAAAGTTAAAACGACACAAATAACTTAATAAAATGTTGAATTTCTTTGATAATCTGTTTTACAACAAGAGAAACCAAAAAAAAAAGCCTTGACTCAGCATGTACGACCTGCTGGTGATCCCAATAGTGGACTAAAATAAAGATTTAGCAAAAAAAAGTCTCTGAATTTCTTCTAATGTGACAGTAGGTTGCAGTTTAGTCACTAAAGGCTTTCATTTTTAAATAAAACACGTATAATAAAGTGATTTTTATGACATTTTTGGCTTAAATTTGGTTAGCTTCCTTCTCAATCCTGCAGCTGACACATGAGAACTGTTGGGAAGTTAAACAATCCTTCCTGTCGTTCCAGCTTCTAGCTCTGATAAATAGCTTAAATGTGCTGATTTTTTTTAAATACCAACATGCCTCTCAAACCACCCGGCAGATTTTTTGGGGTTCACAGTGTCAACGCTCCAAACGGTTCGTGTTTCCCAGCCTGGAAGTGGCGCTAACGGGGATTAGAGCTGATTCGATCTTGTAAATCTGTTGCAGTTAATGATGCCGGTGCAGTTTTTTTGTTTTTTTTTTGCGATGGCAAGTAACGCAAGGGAAGCTGAATAAGAGATGAAATTAGCTGCGGGCGGCTCGTCGCACTACAGCCTCTTCAAGCATTTAATTTCGCAATTATTAAACTTTCTCTTCCCCTAACAGCCGCACAGTTGCTGCTCCTTAGTGTCACTTAAACGGTGTGAAATCTGAGCTAATAAACAAAATGTGGCCCCGTGGCACAGTGCGAACACACAGGGTCTTGTGTTCTGCTGCTCTGATGGAAACAGAGAAGAAGAAGAAGAGAGGGGGTTGTATCTCTGAACAGAAACACACAAATGTAGGCGAAAACACACCTCGGTGAAGGTTTACTGCATCCACCACAGAGGGGTTTTGCCCTTGTAATGAGTGCTGCAGCAGCACCTCTTTTTCCTGCACAGGAAAAAAAAAAAAAACAGCTACAGGCTGGAGGCTGAGCGAGAGAGAAGGTAAGTAAATAATAAAATCAAACAGAATCTCCGAGATGAAAAGAAATGATGAAAACAATGACGGGGAAAGGCGGCGAGTGTTTCATTAATTTATCTCCATTCATACTCGGGCGTGTGTGTGTGTGTGTGTGTGTGTGTCATCGCTGCAAACACAAGACGGGATTTTCCAGCTGCAGACGAGCTGGGAAACAATGACTGTACAAAACCAAAGGAAGACACGTATCGGTTGGATTTTCACGGTAATGGAATCTACACAGAGTCGCCCGAAGCCATCTCAGCGCAGTGGATGGCGAGATGGAGGGAGTGTTTGCATGGATGGAGGCATCAATAAATCAGCAGAGGGAGGCAGTAGGTCCTAAACACATACAGTGAGCTCGCACCTGTTCCTGCTTTAACATGGCAGGATGCTGAGCTAAATTCAGACCTGACAGACCTCGAGATGCTGAGAAATACGCCAGGCTGCCGTACAAATGGCTTGATTATTCGAAATATCTGAGCTACAGAGTTTGTTCCGCTAGAATCTAAAAAACGAAACTCAGAGGAGCTGCTGGAGTCGATTCAGCTGCATTTGAATGGTTCCAAATGGCATCATCTCTCAATAACTACATTCATTCTAAGGGAAACAGTCTAGCATTTTATCATATGAAGAAATGTTTTACAAAAATGATTTCAAAAATTCAGGCCCCAACAATATAAACTGAACTAAATGGAGTCCACCTGTGATTTCCAATCAGTCCAACTGTATGAACATGGCTATAAAATGACCTGAATATGTAGTAAATGCATAGTCCTGACAGTGAAGCACTCCACATGTAAAAGACCTGCCAGAGGAACTCGATTGTGAGACGTCATAAAGACGGAAAAAGATCCAGAAAGGTTAAAATCAGTAGAAACACAGCTGAAGCAGTAATAAGGAGCTATAGAAGGAGCCATAGTACCTGGTTGTCTTCCTAAAATGACTCCACGGACAGTGAAATACTTTCACAATGTAGGTCGGAAAAATAGACGGCAGCTGCTATAGACCTGGCACAGGGGTTATCAGCGGAAATCAAGAGACAGTGCTTCAGAACATCAAAGAAAAACACTTGACATGAAAAATGGAATTTTACTAAACAGGCCTGATGGATGTTGGGAGAACATTCTTTGGTCACATGATACATTTGTTGGGCTCAGATGGTGTGAACCTGGTCAGGACGATGCATTCACTGTGGTTGTCCTGACCAGGTTCACACTAAACATGCTGGAGTTATAGTGAATAACAGACCAGTTTTGTGTCTTTTCGTTGTCATCTGTCTGTTA